TATTAGCCAATCAGATCTTGTAAAATCACGAAATGATCTACAAAAATTAGCCAATCGGAATGAAAGCCCGCTATGCTGGCATTACTTTTGTTGGTTGTCGGTAGTAATTTCCATAATTTAACCGAAACTTTACATGTGACCCGGGATCCTGATATAATTTACCCATAATTTATCCGGACTTATTGATTCTTCCATCAAAGGATCCCGTTGAACGTCACTTTACATATCTTTCGACATTTAAGAAACTTTAGAGCTTACCAATTTTTTTCTAAGCGGACGTACACGGATTTTTAAATTTTCCTTGGCCCGTTAGCAAATATTATAAATTAACATGCTTCAAGAATGCAAGTACGAACAAAAAATCATATCACGACTCAAATTTTATAAACAAAGCCTCTATAAATTTAAACACTATAAACTCAAACTCTATAAACTTATATTCCTGTAATCAAAAATGTCTCACGGACACCAAAGCTTATTAAAAGTTTTTGAACATCTTGTATCAACTAGACCAAAAGAAAAAGCTCTTTTCGTTCCAAACGGTGCAGAGTATGAAGAAATCAATTTTCAAGACTTGGATCTTATTATCAATAAATACGCTAACTATTGGAGTAAACAATTGGAGAATGAAACCTTGGAGAAAGACTGTGTGATCGGCTACTTATCGCAAAGTGGTCCTGAATACTTATATAACTTCATGGCTTTATGGAAATTAGGCTTCACAGTTTTATTTCTTAGTCCTAAAAATTCCGAACCTGCATTGATTCATTTACTTCAAGAAGCTAAATCGAGTATTCTCATTTACGATTCTCAACTTTCAAAAATCTCCAAAAATGTGCAAAGTGAATTAGGTTCTCAGCATTCACAAACGCTTAAAATTTTTCAACTTCCTAACAATTTAAAGAATGAAAATATTGATCATTCAGCACCTGTTCTGAAACTAGATGATAATCCTTATGAAAAAATTATTGCTATTTTTCATAGTTCCGGTTCAACTTCATTTCCTAAATTAGTTCCTCTCACTAATCGTTATTTTTTGGTTGTGAATTCAAGAGATAAGGCTGATGATATTGTCTTAGCAACCCCTCCATTATTTCATATCTTTGGAATGACTGTCATTATAACTACTATTCTCAACCCTGGTTCCGTATATGTATTTCCAATCGTCTCAGGATCAGTTCCTTTAGTAAATGAAATTTTACATAGTTTAAACCAATCTAAGGCTAATGTTTTTTATACCTTACCCGCTACTATTGAACAAATTTATAAAAATCGCCCAGAAGAAATTAAAACTTTATTAAAAT